TAAATGTGTTTTAAATTATTATTTGTAACATGTGAGTTTGAAATTCGGAAAATAAAAGATAGGTGATATACATGGACCTATCATAAACCCTGTTATAAATATCCATATTCCATCATTAACCGCGGTTAATGATAAAATGTTGGAAATATATTATGCTGAAAATATTGTCATTACATTGTAAGAACATTGACCTTCTAAAGACAGTTTTATTGGTACATTTGTATGTTTTAAATCATGTCATATTGCACAGAGAAACTTCAGAATACATTTTTCTTGCAGAAGTTTACTAGCAAGCGAGAAGCTTGCTAGGAGAGCGTAGGCTAATACTAAATATAGATTTAGACTTATGAAATAGCACGCGTTGGCCCAAAGAAGCTGAATTTCAGGAAACAATTTCATTTTCCTTTTCCTCTGAAGAAACGAAAGGCGGAAAATATATTAATAGAATAGATTCTATAAGTATTGCGTCAAATCAATGACTGATACGATTTGATATGATATGATGAAGTATGAGTTTTTGTCGGTGGTTAAAGATTTCATTTTCGGATTTACTCTCACTTGTTGGACGTGAGAGTTCACTCAAACAACTTCATTACCCCTGTAGTTTGTGGGAACTACAACGTTAAACCAACGCTTACGACCTTACCTCGCCTGCCCTCGACTTCAAGTACCCTGATCATATCGCAGCTGTAAAAAACGTTGTTCCATAAGAAATTTTCATCAACACTTTATTTAGGTTCATTCCAGTCTACTCCTTTACTAAGTAAATCCTTCAAGGGTTTTACACATCATATGATGGATTGAAATTTCTCTCTTAGCGTATTCACCTTTTTAAATACGACGAGGAATAAATTCATGTTAATAATCTTAGCTAATACTTTAAAGTAAATGAGAAATCCTTGTGAGCTAATCCTACATGAACTGCACCTTGTAAGGAAAACGCAAAACTAGGGATAAATGGGTTTAATAGCCATTAGATAACGAATGTCTATCTGAGGTGTACTGTTACTGTAAATGAAAGCACTAATTTATTATATAACAACAAACATAATAATAATAATAATAATAATAATAATTCATAATTGTAACTAAATTAATATACTGTCTAATTTTTCGAGTGTATTCTTAATATAGTTTAATTTTATACCACCATTGTGTTATCTAACATCGAATAAAGTTCAATTAAGCCAATGTAAAAGGTTGAGAAAAATGAAACATAATAATATTACAATAGTGACAGAAATTTTAAGACATTAACACTTTATTGTAAACAGCGGTTTTGTAGAATTTGCGTGAATACGTTTGTCTTGTCACAATTAATGCTAACATTATTATTGCTTTTATTATCATAATAATAGACATAATTCTGTTTGATTCGCTCGCAGCATATCATTAGCAGCCAGTGGCCGCTGAAATGGAGATCCCAAGTTGCAGGGGGCGCTTCCCCAGGTGAAGATTAGCTCTTGGCGCTGCGCGCGGCGGCGGCGGCGGCGCGCAGGCGGAAGCATGGCAGGCGCGGCACTTGGAATACAAGTGGCAACCGGACAGCTCATCAGCCCCCCCTGCACACCTCTTTTCCCTACGCCCTCCCGCCCCCCGCGCCCAAAAAGCGCTAGCCCCTCACAAACTCCCCAGGCCATAAACGCCATCCACCTCCGGAATGGCAACGTAGCTCGCGCTGATCATTGCTAAGCACAGAGCATCGTGGTTCCTCTGGTTGATAGTGACTGTTTTTCAACGTGATATTTTGCCTGTCTGCTAAAATTCTTAAACCTTATTCATTTCTATAATTATGAGATATTATCTTGAGATTATGTCATTGCAGCTGTATATGTAATGCAATGCTTTCTCAAATATTCACTCATTTCGTTGTTTTTATTTTTTAATTTTTTATTATTTTGAAGAATCGATTACAGATATTTGACGAAACCTTATTGTTATTTTAAATTAAATTAGACCAGCAACCTTGAATTAATCCATTATCATGTCACAATAAAAATCATCCAGCATGTTGGGAGCAATTATTAAATATTCCTAGAAGACCAAGTAAATACATCGATTTTTAATCTCTTGCGCATGCATGGTCTCGACAATAATGCTTTCGGGCAGGCGTCCGGCCTCCGGCACGAATGCTGGGGGGAGTAAATGGAAGCGACTTAGCCCGCGCGCGGGGGAGGCGCGAGGGGGAGGCGGGAGGGGCAGGAAGACACGACGAGGGTCGAGGGCGCCCGACTTCTGCTCGCGAGGCGTCTTCAGCTCTCGTGGTGGCGGCGGCGACTGCCCGCGGCGCTTCAATCCTCCGCCCCATCCATCGCGCGGTGAACCAATCAGTGCGCCGGCGGGCGGGCGGCGGGTCGGCGACAAATGTGCAGCTCTCGACGCGCGCCATGTCCCCGAGTACGCTCCCTCCCCCATGCACCCAGCCTCCCCACTCGTGACGCTCGACGAACCTGGCGCGCGGGCCGCGCCCCGCTCCAAGTTCCGTCAGCGGTTTGTATTATACTAAGAGAAGCCAAATCTTAAGGCTCGCGAGAAGGATTCTCTATTTATTTTAAACACAATTTTATAATCAATAATAAAGATGTAATATTTATTTTCAAAATGCCAAAGGTTATGGTTACTTTTTTCCATTCACATTGATTACTTTTGTGCCATTATATAAAATTATTAGGAAGCTTCTATGTTGGACGTGCTTAGGGCTCCGTTAGACATTAATCAATCACTGTTGCTAATGCGTCCTGCACGCCAGTGTACGCCGTTCTGCCGGAGCTTTTTGTCCAGGGAATCCTCCATTTCGGTGTCGAGAATCTCAGAAAGCGATTGAGGACTGGGTTTCTTCATCGAGTTCCGTTCGAAAGGGCCTAGTATGGTTTGATTACACGTGGTTGTTTTTTTATATGTTCTTTTTTTCCTCATCCTACCTCTTACCGATACCTGATATTTGCCTTCAGAGATTTCAAACAGTTGTGATTCACTACACTCAGTTATGTATCACTTTTCACTGCCTTCTCGGCCTTCGTTTTCACTTATGTTGTATCTTCTAGTGTTAACTGCTGCCTTTTATAGGAACGTGTTTCTTTACTCTTTACAGTTATCTCTAATGTATTTTCCATTGCGTTTAACAACTGTAGTAATGGGATTGATCCTCTCTTATCATTTTTATGTTGAATCTCTTATCGTGTATCCAAATATAAACCAAATTGCAAATATTTCTTTTCATTTTATGTCGTCCACAAAATCTAACAACTTCCATGAATTCCCTTATTATCATAAAATCTACCCGTTTTCTACCATTATCTATAGCATTTACATCTATGATGCATTTATACAGAATTTGTGTCAAACCTTGAAAGTCAGATTCATAATTAATATCAACTGTATCTACACACTACACAAGTACACATTACTTGAATCAAACACACTTTTGAAAAGACATACTATATTTCTGTCACCAAGGTTGATCTGTAACAATAGCTTTACAAATTTTTTTTGCATGCGCGATTGGTTTTTATTTTGATAGAATATATGAAGCGTAATTTATCCTTCGTACTCACAGATTCAATTATCAAAGAACAAATTATCCTGTTATTTTGTATTTAAAATATCAAGATTTATCGTACAGCGATTCGACCCACCTGTGTATGGTCAGTCCCCTGTTTTGTAATTCACGTTACACAAAGTAAGCAACACACGGCATGCACACAACACAGTGACACAGTGATGGCGCTTGGGCGATAGAAGCTAATGCAAATGATATTAGACCTAGGCTTTGCTCTACGAGTAGTCGCCGTAGGAAAATTAAAAATCCTATAGTTAGCTATAATACGAAGAACACAATACAATGTGTGCTGTAAAGCGTACACTACAAAAGTGTGGTCTCTGTGTACATTCCCAACATACTAGTTTGACTGGTTCATCGCGCAACTGTGTTTAGTCCACGTGTGTAAATTTATTTTACGCCACACGTTTCACATTGTGAGCTCAAACAAATCCTCTCATAACGACATCGTGCTTCAATCGAGCGGCGAGCAAACGAACTGAATGCTGCCAACATTTGAAATCCCCGCGCGGGCGATAACGGCAGAAAAACACCTTTTGTCTTTAATTTCGGTCTGTTTGCCAGATCGTCCGTTATTATGCCCGCTCGCGCGTGTGTGGCGGGAGGACGATCGCGGGTGGCGGGGGGGGGGGGATCGCGTGCCCGCTGATGACGCAATCGCGAGCGAAGCAAAGGGCTCGGGCAGATAGGCGGGTGCCGAGCGGATGACGCTGGAAACGAGACGAACAGATATTACCTAAGCGGTAAATTATTTGTAACGATTTGCAAAATTCTTCACGCAAATTTTTCAGAAATCATGAAGATGAAATGCATCAGCGGAATGTAACATGCCGGCGAGATGATAGAGAAAAAGGGTTTCTTCAAATGGGACATAAAAACTACATTTTTGTTCAGAATAGTAGACAAATAATTATTGTTCGCTAAAATTGAAATTAATTAAAATGTGCAATTGTAGACGGTTTGAGAGTAATAGACGTTTTCCTAGTGATATAAATTATTTTATCTTAATTACATATGTTTAATATAGTATTTTTTCATTCGGCGCTGATTATACGCGTACACAAATGATAAATAATGAAATAATCATGTTTGTGAAGATCCTGTCTCAGGTTTCGTGGGAGCATGATGAAAAGGTAGCACGAAATAAGTTATGAAGCTGAAAAATACTAGTATACAGGGAAAAATAACATGCATAATATTCAGATTATTTTCATAAATCATCTATTGTTGTTGTTTTTTGGCAATTTACTCAAAATACGAGCGATAAAACCTTAACCTAATTTTTTTGTCGAGTACAACAGAATCTCTCATCATTATGTACAGACAACGTAATTCGTTCATACTACTCTGGCGATGCACACGCGATAATCTTGCAAAGAATCGTTTATCCGAAGACCGTTCGTGGCTCATGGCCAGCGGCGCTGGGAGGCGCAGTCTACCAATGCAGACCTGCGTGGCGACGGCCGATACTGTCGGCACACATGTGCCGACATCACATGTGGAGCCCCATCAGGCCATTGGGAACGATGGCATCTCGCCCGCCCCGGCGTCGCCCCGCACCGCCCGCGACCGCCTCTGGCGCACCGGCGACAACAGCGCGTGGCTCTGTTACGGCGAATCGGTTATGCCAATGCACCTGGGTTGGGCGACGTTTTTCATTTTGTTGCGATTGGTGCAAATACATAAGGTGAAGGTAACACGGTGCAGGCAGGCACCTGAGGAAATGATTGTAAGAAGAACACTATATAGTAATGTTTGATTTTCACTTCACACAAGTTTAAGAACGTAACATGACATATTTTCATACTTTCTCCTTTTCTTCTAAACTCAACGGGCGTTGATTAACTATGCAGAATAGATGTTATATTATTTTTCAAACACCCGCTAGTTTACTGGCTAAGTTCTACGTAACACTTTTGGTTTCGAGGACTTTAATAGCGTTCCTCTTTTTCTCGAGATCCTACAAGGTTGACACTCTGCGTGTGCCACGCTTAAAGCCAAGTGTATGGTTTAATATTGCATTTATCGCGAATGTTGATATCCATCTTAGGTACCGAGATACAGTAAGCGGGAAGAACTAAACCTTTTTCAAGAACGGTCTCTATCTCTATTCCATTTCATTTTCGACCTTTCATTATACACGCTAGTGAATATGTCCGGCTACTACTGTAACTGCTTCCAATAGAACAATTCTGAAAATGATTTGTTACAATAATACATATTGAAACCGGTGTACGTAATTTTTGAAATCCGTTTTGAAGTGAATTTCACAGGAAAATGACAGATTGTTAATGATGAAGGGAAGTCTCTGCGTGCATTCTCCCTACGTCACCTCTATCAGTCGCAATTCCATCGCGCGCATCACTAACCACCCGCTGCGGCGCGCGTCTGAAATCGTGGCGTTGCCGATTACGCGGAAGCGACCACGACACCGCAATCACGAACATCCCGCGCGAGCGGGGGCGGCGGGGGTGTCGTTGCCGCTGGCGGGGGCGGCGAAGTGGCGGGCGTCCCGCGCGCACGCACCGTCCGGCGGCGGGCCGTCCATCATGGCGGATAGCATCGCCGGGCGCGGCCGCCGCCGCCGCCGCCGGCGAGCGAGCAGCGCGCCCGCTTATCGGGCCCTGGGCGGCGTCGCGGTAAATCCGAGCCCCCGGAGAGCGACGGTGAGGGGCGACGGGCCGCGGTCACGCGTCACGCGAGCGGAGGAGTCCCGCCCCCGCCGCGACCCATCCGCCCCCCGGGCGCCGCCTGGGTGGGAGACGCGGCGGCGCTTTCTGCAGCGTTTACGGCTCACTCTCACCTCGCCAAGACCTCAGAATTGCGTAAACGCGCCGAAGCAGCACACGGGAGACGCTGGTGATGCGAATTCCGCCGCCGATGCTTTTATTCTGTTCTGCTCCCGTTGCTTCCATTTACTGGCGTAATTATGTATACGGCGGTTTCGCTGTCGTGTTGAAGTTAGCTGAATGATGTTGACAGATGTGCCAAAGAATTAATTATTTTATTAGGAATATACACCTGCGTCTTGCCATTATCTGAACTAAAAGAGAAAACATCATTTATTATCAAGGTATTTGTATGCCTTAGAGGAAAGAAGCTATAATTGAAGAGTTCTTAACGGTCAGTAATTTACTACGGTACAAATTGTCCTTACAATAAAAATATTTCAGTAAGTAAATAATTGTAACTGTTTTTTTTTTATCGATCTACCTTTAACGTTGATCCTTGAACTACCGTTAACCTCCTTCAGATCGTTTACTTCCAAAAAGACGAGTCCAAAACAAGGAGGCTAACCAATGCATTCGTAACCACTATTGAGACAACAAGGGCATAATCCTCCACCAGTGAGAGTCGCAGAGCAAACATAGCGATCTTCTGCCCTAACGCGCGGCGAGCACGCAGTTACAGCAACGAAAACAGAGCCGGTTCCGCACTCTCAGTGGCTAACAAGTGGGCAGCGGGGGCAACGAGGGGGCGCCGGGCCCCTCCCCCCGCCCGGCCAAGGCGCGCTCGGAGGCGAGTCGCCCGTCGGAAGACCGGAGATAAGCCAAATTGCGCGCGGGGGCGCGGGGCGCAGGGGCGGAAAGCAGAGACTTCCTCTGGGCGGCGCGGTGCGCGGGGGGCGCCGCGCGAGGGCCGGCGGGGGCGGAAGCAATTGGGCTTGGAGAGCGCGTTAGCGTGGGCGATGTGCTGAGGCGGATTATAGGGCTCTCAGACCGCCCTCCCCTCGCCGCCCCTCCCCGCAGGAGGGAGCCGCCGAGTGTTTGCTGCCCGCTGACAGGGCTCGCGAGGCAGGGCCTTCCGGCGCCGCGTGTTTCGGTTGCGATGAGCCTCTTGCAGTTTGCTCTAACCCTCTTACATCGCTTCTCTTCCTTTTAGGGTTAATAAATTGAAGGTAAAATGGCACCTTCACTGCTGCTGATGGACGAACACAAATAAAAAAAATGACTTTTTCTATCTAAAAGAAATTTTCCTCTAATGAGAATGACAGTAACTTGTCTTTTGATTACCAGAAATAATGTGCTTAGGAAGTAGCTCGAATTCCATGATATTTTCATGTACGTTTCCGTTTTAAATTTTGAGAATATTTTCACTATCCATTTTTTGATAAATTTCACATTGAAAATAATAAAAAGGAAGAGATTAGAGGGTTTTTATGAATATAGAAAACTAGCTAATCATGAAAAACGTCATTGCACTTCTCAGCTTCGAAGAAATCCGCATCCTTGCTCCATGCAGTAACGAAGTTTAGAAGAAAGTTCTCAATATAAAAATAGATAACACAATGTAAAGTATTTAGTTTATTTTCGACGGAGTTAAACTTTTCTGCTACACTTTTCTTCTCTCACTTGGGAAGTTCTGATGTAGGCAACTAAATGAGACCAAGACTTTGCGTGTTATACTTGCAGGCGAGTGTGCAGGAAGCGGTGGGGCATTTAAAGTCTATTTATTCTTCCCGGTGGGGAGGAGGGTTTGGTCAAACACCGCCGGCGCTCTCGCGAATCAGATGGTCGCTCAGGGAGGCTTTCGCGCACCCTGCTTGTCGGACTGCGCACTTTGCGGGGAAATATGTGCAACGGTCACGTGACCATCGGAGCCACTACACACGCCCGCGGCTGATTCTTCTCTTGAAATCACAAAGGAAATGAATGCCATTTAAAAAAAATGAATGTCCATGGGGATTCTACACACACCAGTACCATACGCTCAATGTAATTTCTGGTTTATAGAGATTGGACTTCTTATACTATTCAATTAAATCATCAATGGTGACTTTCTTTGGGTTTTCTGAGGGTTCTGAAAGTAAATTTAGAAGATAAACATAAATATGTCCCGTCCTCAAAAATTAGGAATACTTTTTTTATTAGCTCTTTGTCCAATGAAAATGTAAACAAAATCATCACTTTAAATATACCACAAACAATTGCAATACGTTTGTCAGAATTCAAGAAGTTAGGAAGACGATTTTCCCGAAGGTGACACACTACAGGGGAAGGAAGTAACGAAAAGAAGGAAAACCGCTTAATACTTGCGCACAATGTTTGTTTTTTCTAATGCTATCAAGTCTGATGTGTCACTGAAGAAGGAAAATAAATCCACAGCCAAAATTATAATAACTTTAACTTTTACAATACTTGAATTTTCACCCATCGATTTGTACTGTATGAATTGTTATTGCATATTTCTAACCATATTGTTTATCTGAGATATATTAGATTACTGAATAAGACAGTGACTCGTATCCTTTATTGATAGTGAAAGGAATATGTTACGAATGAAAGTAAAATAAAGATATTTAAGCGTTAGAGACACAATTCATTCCTTACGCAACAGGAACAGTATTTTAAAGGAAAAATATCCAAAAAGAAGGTGTAAATACAGAAGAAGTTAGAAAATGCTGAAACGAAGAGGGAAAAACTGCACCTCTCTCCTCTTCTGTAAATGTAAATGGAATACCAAAAGGGATAACAACAATTATAAAAAGGAAAGAAAAGTGAAATTAATATTAGGAAAGTATGTACAGTAAAGCAAGATGTACAGAGGTGGGAAAACGGTAGTTACATAATTAATACGTAATACACACATACCTACAATTATACTTAGATAATACGTAATAGATAACCTTTATAATTATCTACATAATTAAAAAGAGGTTCAATTGTTAAAGGAGTACTAGTTCACAAAATTAAATGAGAGAAATATCAGTAAGAATACGAGAAAAATTGGAATAGTGAAAACGAGACAGAGAGTGAGCAACAGGTAAAACGAGAAAACAGCAAAAGCAAAATGGAATAAAAACAAAAACACAGGATTAATCAGTTACAATGTAGGAGCAACAAGATGCGAAACGGTGTTAGATACGTAGGGCCACGAAGACGACCAGGCAAAAGCCACGAGCCACGACGCGCGGCGCCCATCGGGTGGCCGGTGGCGGCGAGGGCGCGTGTGCGTGCGCGCTGGTCGTTGCGCGCGCCTCCGCCACCTGCCGCCGCCGCCGCCTCCTCGGAGTAATCGCGCGCGTCGGGGCGTGACGCGCGCGCGCCGTGGGCGTCCGCCGCGGAGGAGGAGGAGGAGGAGGACGCTGCGGCGGCGGCCAAGTGCCGCGTAGCACGCGCCCCGCCCGCCCTCCTCGCCGCTCCCAGCCGCACCCGCTGACTCACTCCCCGCCCGCACCGGCCGGCGGAGAAGAGGGCGCTCCGAGAGCTGGCCCGGAAGAGGAAGCGCGCGAAACGAACGTGGCGGAGGTACAGTTGTGTCGCCGTAACAGTCGAAGAGCAGAAATAATTCGATGAGTCAGCTGGTGGTCCGAGCGCACGCCGATGATCGCAAGGAGAAAACGTAAAGGGGAATGAGCGAAGGATGCGGCGACAGTCAAAGAATGCCCCAATGAGTATATCTGAAGCTCTAGACAGTGTCTCATATATATATATAATATTATATATATATAATATTATATATATATATATATATATATATATATATGGGCTAGTAAATAAATTATTGATTTCTTAAAGTCAATATGAGGCTGACATCACCTCTAAATATTTCCTCCTTTTGATGAAGCAAAACTCACTTGCCCATGGCGAGGACTTACAATCGGTCTCTCGTCCTACCTCCCGCAATGAAAGGACGCCGCAGTGAAGGCGAAGCGCAGCGTCTGCCAAGTGCCACTTGCCTATTGGCCCGCTCGCATCACCGCTCTCGCTCGACCCGCGTCTCCCGCTCCCCTCCCACGCCCGCCCACCTCCTCACACCCCCCCACGAACGCCCGCCGGCGACCCGCCGTCTCCCGCCCACCCTACCCGTCCCGTTCGCCGCCCGGCCCGACCCACCCACAGCGGCCGTCCCCGCCCCCGCCCCGCCAGACCGCCCACCCCCGCCCCCGGCCCCCGCCCGCCACACTGCCCGTCCGCCAGTCCCCCGCCTGCCCGCCGCTTCCCAGCACCACCTGCCCGACACCCCCGCCCGCCCGTCCCGCCCCCTGCCCGCCAGCCCCGCACCCCCCGGCGAACGCCGCTCTGACTCACGCCCGCTACCCCCGACGATGGCGGTGTAAGATAGCGCGCTCGAGAGGCCGTGGGAGGACAGCTCGCGACGCGCCGTCTCTTTCAAGAAGCACTCGCCGCCCAGCGAGCGACACCCAGGCAGCCGCGTCAGGGAAACAACCAGAGTAACTGGAACCTTCTGCGTGCGTGCACCAGGTCGAATCCTACGCACGCACTTGACGCTTCATCGCTCTGTAACCGTCAGATTGCTGTGCGCACTCATGGATCAGTAACGGACTTCATGGGACGTAATGTGTTGCTTTTTTTCGGGAAGTATTAAGAATTCGCTAATATAAGCACTAGTATATTCTAATTGTCTTCAAATGTGGAGAAAACTAATCATTTTCTCCTTTCAAAATACGTACAGGAGGACCAGATGTGAAAGGATGACTTTTTAATCAAATGAACAAATCAGCTTTGGATAACTAATTTACTTCGCTTAAAGGCGACAAATTTAATTTCAAAATCTGAGATATATATATTATGGTTTATTATTAACGGTTACCTTTAACATATAGAATTTATTTCTCGCAATGTTTTTAAACAAACTGTAGTACTAAAACTTGTATTTGAGTTAGAATTGAGAAAGAAAAATACATCCAAATTCCATTTCCTACAAGAGAGATGAAATCGTGACAGTGACGAGTGAAACGGAACATTATAACCAACCATCTCTGAATGCACGGGCACATGAAGGGGATCCTATGGACAAGCATACTGACCCTCAAGATCCTGATAATGTCACTCAACAAAATTTACCTCTTTAACATCAGTAATGGATCGTAAAAAAAGCGACTTAATAATACTCAAATACTTCAAAGATATAACTCAAATAGTTCAATTCAGTGTCTACCATTTCTACGAGATGAATGGATGGTGAGTATGAACAATCAATGTGACTACAAACGTACGATATACAATTGTACATTGAGCGAAGTAATTACAATTTTGGGTTCATTAATGACATCTTTGTTATGTACCTTCTACTTGCTCGGATACAGCAACGTTCTATTGCAATAAAGACCACACGTTTTATTTTAATAACGAAATGTATGTACATTCCAATGTCGTTTGCTTAATGTATTACTTACACATTACGTGACTACTACTGAAGTCTTGACGGCATTCTAAAGCCAATAATATCTCAACGGAGCTCTCAGATATTATTTCGACAAACCGAAGTGAAGTCCTCTTCGTTTTTATCTCCTCGTTTTCGTCAAATATAAATATAATGTGTATGTGTCAAATATAAATAAAAAGTGTGATATTAACAATAAAATTAAAAAATAATTGTATAATGACAACGAGAATTTTTGCTGGAGAAACAAATGTTGTAATTACCATTATTCAAAGGTTATTCATTATAGCCATTAACAGTAATTGTTTCAAGAATGTGGAAATGATGCCACTCCTAGCACATTACAAGCGAAAAAAACCTTAAAATTTCAAAATAATTCGTATAATAAATATTTGGATTTTGCGATTTGTGGTGAGACCCCAGCAAAACCTCCTCGGAATCCTGGTGTTTCACGGAACTGAGTGGAAGTGCCTGTGGTGACTTGCAGCGCATCAGTCGCAGGGTCTCCCGCGCGGCCCTCCGCCGCCCTTCGCTGCCCCGCGCTGCGTGCGTCTGATCCCCACGGCGATCCCGCGCCACCGCGCTCGCGCCGCGATAACAACCCCAGCGCCCAGCGCTTCTGTCGATCTTCGCGGCGCGGGTTTTCCCGCCGCTCCCCCTCACATGTCACCCACGGCCCACGCCGAGGACAACCCGTGGCCCGCCTCTTCAGTCTCCGCGCGGTGGCGGTGGCGGGCGCGACAACTGCTGCACTGATCCACCATCCCCAAGTTTCTGTTTGTGCAAGTGTTATGTTAGCGATAACGTCTTGGCTTCTGTCTCAAGTTCAGGTAATTCTAAACCATACAAGATGATATACTAGAGAAACTGAAATGTTTGAAGGTTTGCAGGACTTCATCAATTTGAATTCCATTTGCACAAAAATCACTTCTGAGGCCAAATGATCCACAATTGAACCATCCCAGATGATTTGTTTAAAAATAAGCATTCATCAACACCCTTCTTAGGACCGTAATTCTTCGAAATGTATTCATGAGAGCGGTTCACTCAATATGAGATTAATCAGAGGTATAATACGATAAAAAATCTATTTAATTCCTCAAAGACATGCAGAATACGATTCTTATCGCAATCCTCTTAAAGGTAAAGACTAATAAAACGTTTCTTGGAGGCTTTCGAATAGTATGCCCCGCTGACATGATCATGATCGAGAATTCAATGTGTGATCATTTCAATGGTGTTCATTAAACTTTCTTTTGAAGCTTCTTGACTTTTAACCTTGTGATAAGTTTTATCAATTCATGTCAATTTTAAATTTTTCTCACCTGCGAGGTAAATTTTCATAGTTTCAGAATGTAAGTGTAGACAGTGTAGAAAACTATCACTTATGATTTCATTACAAAAACACACTTTTACGACTGTTGTTATAATGAAAAAGTTTCAATGAAAGACGTATGTGGATATGAAGTATCTGAGTCATCCACCCGTGATCACAGGGTTTCTTGGAACGAAATGCGAGAGACGTTTATTGAATCTGACAATCCGGATAGTGTCACTTAAAAATCTTCACAGGCTTAATATTCGCAAAGGATCGAACGAACCAAATAGAATACGGTAGCTCTGTCGCAACACTGTTCCCTCTGCAGCATCGTTGACAGTGAGCCCCTAAGCCCTGAGACAGAGATGTGGAGGATTTCGACACTAAGTAGATAGTGGGGTCGAATTCAGCCATTTGAGGGATAATTCTGTTGATTGTCTACTCCGACGTCTGACGTTCCAGCAGGAGAGGAAAACCGCCAATGCCCTGGCAGACCACTCAAAGGATCCGTCATGGAGTGCAGGGAATCGATGCTCTGTTTAGCGTCCCTCGGAGAGGGATGCTAACGCTTGTGCGGTGGCGCGTGTGTGGCAGGTGCTGTACGAGACGACGCGGGACGTGTCGGCGGCCGAGGAGCTGCTGCTGGGGCCGCGAGCGCCTCTGCCGCTGCCGCCGCTCGACGCCTGCAACGAGTCCAACACGTCCGACGAGCGCAGCGACAAGGAGACCGGTGAGTCCCTCGCGCCCCCGCAGGTGTCGCCTCTGCGCAAAACACTTTGCGCGTCTCATGAAAATCGGCATGGTTTACTGAAGTGAAGAAGTGTGTTCAGAAAATGGTGTATGTTTAGTAGTAGACATTTCACGAAAATAGTTTACAAGATGGCCGGTCAGTCACAAGAAACAGACGGTCGCCAAAACACATTAAACCGTACCGAAGCTCCGTTAAAATGATTTTTTATGTCACTTTTTTCTTGTGCACCACGGTTCTCCTATAGCGTTTGCTGAGGTGGGTACATGTTCGTATGCCGAAAGAAGCTCTAAGAGTGGCGAGCACTTTTTTTTAACTTTTTGTTTGTTTAATCGTAAGAACTAATCGATTTTTCATCGTATAAGAAAAAGAATGCAATTAAATATACTACAGTTGATTGTTTCGTCCATACTTAAACATATGTTCAAGTATGGACGAAACAGTCAACAGTGGTATATTTAAAATTTCTTGGAATTACTAACTTGCATATCACAAATAAATATTATTACACGAAAAATGTTTCAAGCGTTGGATGCGCTACACTGAGCTAGAAATGCAGAATCTCACTGCTGCATGGAAATTCTTGATCAATTCGTATTAAAATATAAAATGGAAATATATGATACAATTTACTCCTGTAGTTTGGAAAATTGTTATATAAATCGTAATTTATAACAGTATTTTACCATTACCTCAATGGTATGTTGGTAATGGTACGTTGGTAAATTGGCACGTTGTGAAAAAATAAACCCAATACAATTTAGTACTGTACATACTGATAAATATTTTATTACGTACAGTTAAAATACTTCATTCAGTTATACACTTAAACATTTATGAAAACTTGTTAAAACTCGAGCCTCATATTGAGTTCTCAGATATACAATAAAATGTATTTGAATATGCAATAGGAATTTCAAATCATTGCTGAGAAATATTTCATGAATATCATGCTTGATGAAAATTCAGCGACCAATATTGATTTGTAGGTTAACTCATACCTGTATTGTAAATAATTTATCTCCCACATAATTAATATTTGGAAACAATAAAGCGCTAGAAACATTGTTCAAACCTAATATTCATACTATACATTATGCAAGGTAGCTACTACACACTCGAGTGGAGGTCATCGAAAACAAGCGAAGATGAATAGACGGGAACAAAACAGTTTCACCTGGACAGAACCTTGTGGTGAAGTATTGAAGTATGTGTTTAAAAAGGAAGCGCTAAAAGGAAGTGAGGATGAGTTTGAGGACTACGTTTTCATGTGTGGAGAACATATCGAAATGTATCTACTATTTGAGAAATAATGTTCTGAATATATTCTTTGTTATAAATTGAATTGATCAATATTGTTCAAAATAACTCATTTATAGTGATTTGTATATCGTAAATATTATTGTATAATGATAGTCCAATGCTCAGAACGTCAAGAGTACTTTGGTATTTAAAATGAATAATAATTTATATAATTATTAATTGTATAAATATTTATATTATTACATTTGTTATAAATATTTTTAATTATCCTTAATAGGAATAATGGTTCAATTGAGCGTTGAATTGACTTCAATTTCAGTTTTAATATAACACACTCCAAACTGAAGGGTAACATTGGAAATCACGATTCGTTTTCCAGAACCTCTGTGCCGTTCTTATGGCGCTCTCTGTTGCATTGAGGTCTCCTCATCCAAATTGTATGGTCTGAAGCTCTGCCTTTTCCTTCTTCACTCGAAATAGTGAAAATCCATACGACTCGTAAGGATTTTATATCGAGGGTTCATTAACAAAAACAGTTTTTTACTTCCTTTATCTGTACTTTCAGTTTGCGTATGTTTTAACACACAATAGAATAGATGCGAAAGGGAAAATAAAATAAAACGCATCCATTTAGTGATTCGCTTGTGAACTATGAACGTAAAAATTAAAAATTAACTTCAATATTCAAACGTATTTTTCTTCTGACAAAGAGATAAATGTAGTTGAGAAATCTTTCGACAGCGTGAAGTCGTGAAATACCCTCGCCAGACCTTCCGCTGACAGGCAATGAAGTGTCAGTTTCCACAGCGCTGAGGACGGGTGCGTGCGAGGAAGGGCCGAGGACGCGGAGGGGCGTCCGCCGACCTCGCGTGGGGCGCCCGTCCCCGCGTGCGCGAACAGCGGGCCCGTCGGCGCATAAAGCTTCCTGGGGCCTCCGGATACTCCTATTGAAATTATACGGCGTGACTCGCGGCCGTTTTCTGGAAGCTCCGCCGCCCCGCCGCCCGCCGCCCTCCCCCGCGGCGATTAAGCGCTCAAGGGCGGCGGGGGCGGCGCGGGCGGCGAGCGCGATCGTGCCGCAGGTGCAGAAGGCTCTTCCACCCACACCTAGGACTGGCGGAGGCGCAACTTCACAAGAGACCTCTCCCTCTCTCACTTCTTCGCTCTCTCCCTCCCCTTCCCACTCCCTCCTCACTCTATCTCTTCTCTCTCGCTTGCTCTCTTTGGATCGGCTGTTTCATACGAATGCGGTTAAGAACGTGTAGAGGTGTACATTTATGATCTTCACGTACTTCATAAAGAAGCATTGAACATACATACGAATTACAATGAGGCATGCACCAAATGGATAGAAAGGAAGTGTTAAAATGTTCTGCGGTTGCAATTCCGTTATCGTTGCTACAAAAATACATACTGTAATAGTAAACTATTTTGGTAAACATTTCTTTCAATATTTTTAGAAATTGTGCAATTCATAACGGAGAACATACTTCGAAAACTTAATATTTTTATTAATTCATTACTGAAACAGGATAGTGTTATCACTAACCCCTTTCATGTACTGATTTATTCTATTTGCTTACTTTATTAATTTAATTCATAAATGCAGATATTTTCTGGAATATCGTAAATAATTAACAAAAAACTTGGCAAGTACACATTTGCATTGAACTGAAATATCTGTTGCTGGATGGTCCAACCTCTACGGGTGGAATTTCCTTAACCGAGAGGTTGCACAAGATAAGCATTCCCGTAGAGATTGCAGAAGATCTAATTACATACATCCTGTATCCTTCGCGGTTTCCATGTCCGTTTGCAAGACCTGGACTCAAGAGATAGGTTATCCTGACCCTGATAAGAAAGAAAATTCATTTCCGTAGTTAACGAACTTGCTGCCAGAAATATTCTTCGCGTAGTTGTAAAGACGTTCGAGTAAATCAAATATACCTACTGTACATTGAAAATGAATTCTTACCATACCCGTACCAAACACTCCACATTCATTAGTCATGAGTATTTTCCGATTTAATTTTTAAATGATTTTTATTTTAATGTGTACAAAAACATGCGTGTCCACAAAAAAGTTTAAATTACTGGAGCAATGGCTCCCAAATTCTTCACAAATGTAACTGAACAGTCGGGGGAAAAAACAACGCGATTCTCAAATATTACCCCAGATTCAATTGCTGCTGGCCTAATGAGACGGGTAAGGGCGGTTGGTAAGTGCTGGTCGAGCCGGGCAGGAGGGATAGAGTGGGTGGAGCGGACGTGGGCGGACAGGACGCACAAGAGGGGGGCTTTGTGCGGAGGGCGCGGGTGAACCCTCGGGGGAGTGTTTAATCGACTGTGATAAATCGTGTGATTGCAATAATTGTGACACGGGCAGCGCCAAGCAGTCAAATTTATATTAGAGCATGATATCACATGAAAAGTTCTGTGCAGAGTCCTCTTAATTATTACTTTTATAATACTCACATTTACTGGTGTGCGTTTTTGAAGAGGCTAATGGTTAAGTACATTTTAGAATGCAAATATTGAAAGGTGATCCACTGTCAATAAAACCGGGACATAAATTGCAATAAGTATTGTATAAACTCGTTGTGACCCTCAATTGCATGCTGGCATCATCTGAATTCGTTTACAACGCTCCACAGAGGTTAAACGAATTCGAGACTTCACGGGTTCCTGGTTGGGTGACCGTCTGGGAACACCGGGATCTAACGGCGCCGAGCCCCTAGCCGAAAGAATAAAAGGCCCTGACTAACTGCGTGAGGAAACTTCATTGATAATAAATGGAGAATTACTCCAAGGTAGATGGTTTATCGCGGAAGCTGATGGTGGTGATCTTTTCCCCGCTGGATGGCGGAACTGAGCACCGACCTACCCGAGGCTTACGGGGCTTTCCCCAACCACGTATCTCCCACTAGCAGGACACCGACGTAGCCAGGACTAGCTCTAATCACCCGACTAGTCTCCCCATTCATGTGTAAAAGTATGTGTGTAAGTAAGGGGCGAGGTTAGGAGAAGGAAATATTGCATGCGGCCCGTTTGTAAGGGGACTGCTCCGGAATCCGGTGTTGATCGGAAAAACAACGAAAAACTACTAAAGAGAGCAGCCGGTTGCTATAATTCTCCTCCAGGCAGCGGCCGAATTCGATCTAGTTAGTGTGGAAACTCCTGCCAGCGACGGGAATCGAACTTCCCCGTTCAGAAGTACCGCAATGAGATCAATTGATGGCGTGAGCCATTTGAGCAGATGCGAACGAGGAGTGCAGCCCAAGTGCCTCCCGGTCGACGACACCACGGGGCGGCCGCCGACTGCCCTGGCGGCGCGGCGCTGCCAACACGCGCGGCGCGGCGGACGCCCCCGGGGCGGTGTCGCACGCGAGGCGTCTGGGAGCGAGCGCAGGTGGCGGCGGGGGCGGCGGCGAGCGGAGACAACACCGGTGGGACGGACGGTGACGCACCCCTCCCGCTCAAATATTCACCGCCACTTAGGGGTCTTTCTCTTATCTGGGCGGGATGGCACGGCTGTGTTCCGAGGTCGAAGCGCAGCGAGGGCGGGAATGGTGAGACGGGGAGTTACGAGTGCCACAAGCGGGGGCGGGGATGGAAATACACTCTACTTCCATGGGTTCTTAGTGAAATTTTGTACTAAAATTAAAGCACATCGATTGATTGATTGTTTAGTGATTCCGGGCACGCCAACTGCCAGGGTC